GTTGTTGTTTTCCTGCAGTTGACTCCAGTAAACATGTTGTTGTTGTTGTTTTCCTGCAGTGAACTCCAGGTCGTCCACGTCCAGCAAATACGACCCGGACATCCTCAAAGCTGAAATCTCCACGGCCAAAAGTCGGGTAAGATCGTCAGTTTTCTATTTCAGCTCCGATCTTCATTTTTGAGGGAATTCCTGTTGAACAGGATCAAATGAAGGAGGTCCAAACTCCACGGAGGTTCTGTTCCCTCCAACCGCTCAGAAGAACTCGCGTCGGCTGATTGTAAAAGTCATTTTACACAATTATTGTTCAGAACTTTCCTGGACAGATTTATCTTGAAAGGGTTCTTTGATTTTGTGGAATCTCTAAAGCTCAAAAATAACAGTTGTTCTTTAATTAAAACACTGAGCCGGACCAACTGCCGCAACACTTTTAAAGTCAATTCAATTAAATTTCAATTCAGTTTATTTATAAAGCGCCAAATCACAAGAGTTGTCTCAGGGACTTTACAGGAACATTCACATAAAAAAGCCAAGTAGTAAAGTTCTCCATCTAAGGAGGCAGCAGACAAGTTGAATCTTGGCTTCGTTGCAGTCTCTCATCCTGAGCAGGCACAGAGACAACAACAACAACAACAACAACAACAACAGGTTCGTCTCTATTGGCCAGAATAAGGTAAAACATTTAAATAAACTAGAGGAATTGCATTTCCTGCAAAAATGCATTGTGGATGCTTATTGCTGAAGAACTTGCTGAAAAACAGCTGAAATTAGCTAAAGACATGCTGAAATGTAGCCGAAATGGAACACCAAGCCTAACTTAGCAGAACATAAAAGAACACGTTTGCTGCATCAGGGTTGAATAAGCAGAAATGAGCACAAAATAAGGAAATTACCCGCAGCTAAAGCAGCTGAAATTAGCAAAAAATGACTTGAAAAGTAGCTGAAAAGCAGAAAGAAGCTTAAACTACCAGAAGGATGCAGGTAGAGCTGAAATTAGCTAAAAATGTGGAATTAGCTGAAAATGCTAAAATTAGCATAAAAACAGGTACCGTATTTTCCGGTCTATAAGTCGATGTTTTTTTCATCGCCAGTCCTGCGACGTAAAGTCTGAAGCGACTTAACACAAGTACCCCCCCACCCCCCTCCCAAATAAAAATCCTGTTCATATTACAAACTGCAGGTAATAAAATACGCAGCCCAAAACGGTAATACAGCAGCAGAAAGACAGTTTGTAAACGGGTGGGGTCCGCACACTCTGCCTGGGGGGATTCAAACCGGCGCAAGGGACGGCGGCTCGGCGGCGGAGGGATGGAGCCCCCTTGCCCCGGCACGGCTCCGACTGGGACCGACTGTCCTCAGCACGACCGCACCGCCCAGACGAAGGGAAGCTTTGGACCATTCACGTGCATCAAGGAAAAGTTCAAGAGAGACGCGCCTTAAATGTAACGTCGAACAGACAAATCGTGGTGTTCAGGTGTTCATCTGCTCAACGTGCGAGGCTCCTCTTGCCCATCGGTGTTTGTCCCACGTCTCCCGGGGGTCAGCGGGGACGCTCAACAAACTCGACCTGTACTCCGAAGTGACTTGTTTACGTTTGCTTCCTCTTTATGATGCTTTGGTTCCACTCCCTGGACCCACAGTCGACTCAGGAGCGACGTATAACGAGTAAAATACAGTAAATAGTAGTTAAATCACTAGAAGAGCTGAAACGAGCACAACAAGCTGAAATTAGCATAAAAAAGTTAATTAGGCTTAAAGTAGCCGAAATTACAACAAAAAGCTTGAATTTACTTGAAAACCGCTGAAATTAGCTAAAAAGTGCTAAAAAGGTAGCTGAAATTAGCAGAAGAAAGCAAAAAGAACATGTTTGCCCAATTAGGCTGAAAAAAGCTGAAATTAGCACACAAAAAAAAAAACAGCTGAAATGCAGCTAAAAAGCAGAAAGAAGCTGAAATTACCAGAAGGAAGAAGAACGAGCACAATTTTGCTGAATTAGACTGAAAAAAGTTGAAATTAGTGCAAAAAATGTGGAATTAGCTGAAAAAGCTAAAATTAGCATAAAAACAGCTAAATAGTAACAGAAATAAGCTGAAACTAGCAGAAACAAGTTAGAAGAAGCACAAAAGTGTTTCAGTTAGCAGAAAGAATCTGAAAGGAGCAGAAAACGGCTCAAATTAGCTGAAAGTAGCTGAAAAAATTTTAAATTTGCAGAAAGAAGCAGAAAGAAGCTGAAGCAGAACAAAATGTGAAAGGAGCTGTAAAAGGCTGTAAACAGATCTAAAGATCTGAAGGAGGTAAAATGAGCTAAATTCATTTTCTATAAAAGACAAAGTGGCAGAAAAGGCTAAATATTTCAAAAAGCTGAAGTTGCACCGACACCAAACGTCACAGCAGGATTGTCCTGAAAGAGCCGAACGTTTTATGAATTGTTGAAACAGCTGAAAATGATGCAACAAGACGCAGAGCAGAGAAAAGAATGAGCGTAGAGATGTTCAGCTTCTTGTCTGAGAAGATGCACTTTGTTTCTGCTCCGACACTTTTCACACCGTGAGTCTCGGGTGTGATGAGGAGCGGTAGAAACGCTCAGAAGTGTCCTGGCAGAAGACTCTGTTGTTGTCACTTTGTCTCCAGTGAGTGTCCTCTGTCCGAGCTGAGAGTGAGACGCAGCAGAGAAAGTCCGTCCCTCACGTGTCTCCCGTGTCCTCCGTCTCCTGTTTCAGGTGAACAAGCTGAAGCTGGACCTGGCCTGTATGAAGCAGGAGCTGCAGTGTAAAGAGCAGGGCTTCCAGACGCTCCGAGAGTAAGTGCCCCCCCCGGCTGCAGCCCGGCTGTCCCGGGGGACGGTTGTAGTCCCTTTTTGTCCTCATGTTTCAGGGCTATCAGGTGTTCCAGCTGAAGAGTTGAGTCTCCGTCTTTGAACTCTCAGGTTTTACATAAAAACAAAACATTAAAGAGCGAGAAGACCCGGGTCCTCCGGACCTCAGAGGGTCCGGGTCCTCATCAGGGGGGCCACCTGTGATCTGGAGGGTCCAGTCTTCAGAGAACCTGCTGTAGAAGTTCACAGGAAACTATCTGGACTCCATCACTACAGAGACGAAGATGAACAGCTTCACCCTGAAGGTCAGACCGTGCAGTGCTCAGACTCTACAGGCCTCAGTCAGAGGTCAAAGGTCATGGTCTCCTCTAAAAACAACATGGCAGCTCGACTAAGGTTTGTAGTTTCATCTGAAGGAACTACAAGACTTCTGGACCAGAATCAAATCAGAGGACAGATGTTTACCCAGAATGCACTGCAGCAAACAGCTCCTCCCAGCTGTCAGCACGGTGGTGGAGGCTGATGGTCTGGGCTCCCCTCAGTCACTGAGTGGACCAGAACTCCTCTGTGGACCAAAGGGTTCTGGAGTCCAGCAGCTGAAGCTTGGACCAAACTGGGTCCAACAGAACCATGATCCAGAACACAACAGCTGATCTACAACAGAACGGGTCAGAACAGAACCAAGGTTCTGCACCGGTCCAGTCATTCCAGAACCTGGGCTGAGTTCTGCAGCTTTAACGTTCAGTTTGTAACGTCTCAGTGGAACCTGTTCCAGTCCAGATCGGTTTGATCCGGTCTAGGTGGACGGATCCAGTTCAAAGCTCAGAGTTCTTTAACATTTGGACCACCTGACCCGTCCTGTCCAATAATGAGACTTTGACCCGGTACCAGCCACACACTCTGATCGCTGATGCTTCCACTCCACCAGACAACACCAACCGCACCAGAACGACCCGGACTGTGGATCACGGGTCCGGTCTCGTGTGGACCTCTGCGTAAAGTGAAGTTCTTCGAAGCGGGTCGGACTTTTCTTCCTCTCTGTTGAAGCGAACAGGAATGTGGTTCTGGTTGTCCCGTCAGTCAGGAGGATTAAGGAGAGCAGTCGGACCTCATTCCTGTCCCGTGGCCTCCAGAACCAACCTCAGGCTGGACCGCAGCCTCCAGAACCGGCCTCAGGCTGGACCGCAGCC